ATATATATATATATATATATATATATTCCATAGCAATTCACAATTAATCACAGAATGGCAAGCACAGTGCCAGGGTTGTATTTATTCAGATGTGTGATTGTTTTCTGGCTCTGAAAAAAAACAAACAACATTCTTCAACATATGTCCTTTTTGAAGTGATAATTTCTGTCATATCTAGTTTACAATCATGACTTTACTTCACATTCAGTCTGTTCAAACTTAAATAAAATGGATTCAGTGATTTGATTACACATTGAATGCATAAACAGACAAGGTGCAACAGTTGTGCTTCCCTCAGTTTAAAAGCTGATCTTATCTGTATCTTCAACAACAATCTAAAATGACCTTTCCCTTTTTTGCTGCTCGCCTTTATCTCCTAACTATACCCCAGCATCTCCATAAATGTCTGTCTTTGTTAGATATTTGAAAAACTTTCAGATGTGCATCATCCATTGTGTATTTGAAGGGTAACTTGCATTTTTTTTTTTTGATAATAGATGCAATCTTAATGCAAGAAGAATGTGAAGATTCAAGCAAAAAGTCTGTTTTGATGATAAAGTTGCACATTCTGCAACAGACTCTGCTGAAGAACAACTTTCCCAGAGGCAATATCCATCCCATCACGCTGTGCTATTTTGAACACTCACTCAGGAATTCAACTATTAGTTGTTTTCATACTTTTCTTTTTAATATTTTTTTCTTTCTTGTTTCTTTAAGTACTTCTCTGTTTGTCTACATTTCTCTTATTAGTCTCTGGTTTTATGTGCAGCCTCTCAGCAGGGCATCTTACACATACAATTTAGCATTTTATTCATACATTTTCCATGGCTCATGTGTTAGAAGCACTGAAATCCCGGTCACAGGTTTATAGTACAATGAATATTTCATTGGCCTTCACTGCAGATATTCCAGGGGCATTTTATTCAGGCAGAAATTTATTATTTTTTTCAGAGGAGTGAAAATGTTCCATTTGTTTCTCTTTGGGATGCGCACGACTATAAGTGGTTTTGTTTTCTCAGCTGCCTGTATGAAAGCTGAGTCTTTATGATATTCAGTATCCTAAAGTGTGCTGAGGGATTGTGGTCCTGTTGTCAGAAACTCTAAGTAGTGTCCTTTTTTTTTTTTTTTTTTAAGGTATTCAAAGGCAACAATATTCATCACAGATTTTGAACTCAAGCTAGAAAGTAGAGGTACTTTAATATAATTATAGTAAATGTTTTATGAAAGGTGCACACATCAGCAAATATTGCACTGACAATTTAAAAATTAAAAGCTTAGCATTCTTCGGGGGAATTCATATTGCCCACCCCATTTCTTTCCTGAGTTTTAGACTGATTTAGCTTATGTTGAGAAATGACAGCATGGCAGTTTTGTTCAAACCTTCTAACTGGCGTTAGTCGTTATCTGTTAGTGCCTGAGTTATGCGTTGAGGACCTACTACTATAACAAACATGAACATGAACAGTGGGACATTAATAAAACATGAAGACAGAAAACTAAGGCAGAGGGGGCAGAAATGTGACACATCTTGTTTAACCTCTGCACCACCACTCCCCTTACATGAAAACTACACCAAACAGATAAAAAATATAATTTTGTTCTTAATCTGTACAATGTAAATAATTAAGAAAAGAAACAAAACACACAAAAATTGACAAAATGCTGTTGTTCCACTTGAAAGCGTGGCCTGCAGGGCAGCTCAGCAGGTTGAGTCATATTTTAGGCAACCAATCAGGCAGCGCAGCTAGTTGGCATTGTTCCCTCACAGCAAGAAGGTTCCCAGTTAGAACCTTGGCTCAGGCCTCGCTGTTTGAAGTTTGTATTTTCAACTTGGATCGGAACAGATTTTTTTTTTTTTTTTCAAGGGGTTTAAACTTCATCACATAGCCTTAAAATCTGCATGTGAAAATGTAAAATGATCATAGATGTAACTGGTGAAAGATTTTATTTATTTATTTAGTTTTACTTTTTTACATAACATTTTTGTTTTTGTTGATCCTGTGGTGAAACGGGAAGTCATCCTGGGTTCACCCTGTGTCACAGCCAGTGACAGATGGGAAAGGTTTCAGCCCTCTGTGACCCTGAACAGGACGGAGTAGGAAGTGAAAATGAGCAATACTATGGTCAAAACTCCTCACACTTATGAGAAACATAAAGAGCAAGGAAAGCAATTCAATGAAATGGGAAACTATAAAACTAAGCACTATTTGAAAGAACTCTTGGCCTTTATAACATTTTCTGTAATAATGTCAGAAATAAAATTTAAGGTGAAAACTAATAGAACTAAAGGAACAAACCTCAAATGGCAATGCTTGCTCTAACATGTATGATCTCAATTACTTTTTGGGTACAGCTGCAAATCTAGTCTTTAAGAGGTAAACATGTAAACTATTGTTTATTCCCCTGCTAAAGGACATACCTACTTAAGGCTGTGCGACTACTTTTCTCTTCTTTGATATTGCTTGCAAAGTTCCCTCACAAACACCTGCACTCTCTTTCTCTCTCGTTTCCCATCTCCCCCTCATTTCATTGTTCTCTACACAACAGCCCGCACATCACAGCCAGCTGTGGCTGCAGGTGTTGGAGTAAAGAACAAAGATGTCAATAGTTTTCTCTGCTGTCAGAGGGTTCTGCCTTTTCCTATCCTTCGCCTGCTGTCTCGCCAGCTGCAAGCTATCTGTCAAACACGGGAACAAACAACTCCCTCATCCACTGATGATGCGCTATTAAAATATGTACTGTATGCATGTTAGTATGTGCGTATCAGTAAGTATAGCTTTCCTCTCTCTGTTTCCCAGGTAACCGAAACAAGGACGGGCCCTCTCGGCTGCAGTAACTACGACAGCTTGGATTCAGTTAGCTCTGTGTTGGTGCACAGTCCGGAAAATAAGATCCACCTGAAGGGTGAGGCTCCAAAAACACACAAACACACACACAGGCTTCTGTGTTCAGTCAAACACATAAACATCTACCACATCCATCCACCTGCCTGCCAACCCTCTCACCTCCTGTGTGTAGTCGCTGGCTTGGATGACCCTTTGCTTTACGCTGCAGTAGTTTATATGTCTGTTTCTGCCTGACTGGCTCCAATTCTCCTGGGAAATCTGTTATTTTACCAGGCTGGAGATGGACCACCTCAGCCTACTCTGACCTTAGCCTAACCCTTTTATCCACACCTGCAGCACAAGCAAGCTTTAGGTGGACATGCAGCGACTGGACTTATTGCTTGCTTAAACTCATCACCAAATGATTTCAGGTGGTGAATATTTGTGAAATGGGGCGGCACTGTGGCGTAGTGGTTAGCACTGCTGCTTCTCAGTGAGACACCGTGCAGCCTTTCTAGATGGAGTTTGTGTTCTCTCCTCATGCACAGGTGGAGTTTCTCCAGGTTCTCTGTTTTCTTCCCACAAAACAAAAATGTGCATGTTAGGTTCATTGGTAATTCTTAGTTGTCCCTAGGTGTGAGAGAAACAGTGAATGGTTGTTCGTCACGTTTGCCTCTATCTGACGATGAAATGGACCTACGACCTGCCCAGGGTGTATTTCACCTCTTGCACAGTGACTGCTGGAGTTGGCACCAGCTGCCCTGCAGCCCTGAAAGGAGAAGCAAGTAATGAAAATAGATGGATGGAATACTAGTGAAAACTTTTCATAGGAAGTGCGAGTGTGTAATGTATGCAGTAGATAAGTCTGCCTACATGAATAAGGCATATACTACCTTAAGCCCAGAGAGGTAATGTGAAAAATACAATTAATTTCACTCGCTGAAGATTTAGATTCAGTTGAAACGGTTAAATAATTCTTCAGCTTGTGCTTTACCTGTCCACCAAAGTTAAATCACGTTTGTCCCGACAGTTTTTGTGCAATTTGCTTGAAGATAAAAGGAAGTACAAATGGCAATGACCTCAGAAGTTATGGACACCTGAGCCCTGTCTGAGTTTTAAAGCATTCAGAATCTCCAGACAATAAAATGTTAATGCAGGAAGAAGATGTGGAGGCGGATGGGTTAAATGTCTGCAAGCAGGCGAAGGTTAGCAACTTATGATTGCTGTACATAAACAAAATGAGTGTGATTTCTGTAATATATGTATGTCTCTGCATTTGAACAGCAAGAAAATGATACTGAGATTACTTTATTTTGAAATAGGTGAATGGTTTAAGAGATAGGGCAGCACAGTGGCGCAACTGGTAGAGCTGCTGCCTCTCAGCGAGCAGGTCCTTGGTTCAAACCCTGGTCCAGGGGCCTTTCTGGGTGGAGTTTGCATGTTCTCTCCGTGCATACGTGGGTTTTCTCCGGGTACTCCGGTTTCCTCCCACAGACCAAAAACATGCATGTTAGGCTGATTGGTAACTCTAAATTGTCCCTAGGTGTGAGTGAGAGAGTGAATGGTTGTTTGTCTCTATGTGTCCCTGTGATGGACTTGCGACCCGTCCAGGGTGTACCCCGCCCCTTGCACAGTGATTGCTGGACATGGGCACCAGCGACCCCCGTGACCCAAAATGGAACAAACGGGTAAAGATAATGGATGGATGGATGGGTTTAAGAGATGTTAGTAAAACTGCAACAAAAGTAAGATTTACAACATTTGCGGGGTTAAATTTAGGATCTAGAGAGAATGAGTTTTGTTTTGTCGGTCATTATGTTTAAACTTGAACTTTACATTTGCTTGCACTCTGGCTTGAAAAACTACTTGGTTAAGATTATCAAACAACACGTCTGAAGTGAAGTTATGCAGATTTTGATCAGCTTTTTAACAATAATTATTTATTGTTAGCATGCTTTTTAGGACTTGATATATTTTTTGTCACAGAAGAAGTCTTAGGAATACTCTGAGCATTTTAGGAATGAATTTTTCTGTCTTTCTCCCTCCTTAGATGGCATTAATCTGGCCTCCAGTTCTAATGTTAAAAATCTTGGTGTTATTTTTGATCAGAACATGTCTTTTATCCCCCACATTAAAAATGTGAACCGCTTTCTTCCACCTGCGTAATATCGCTAAAATTAGAAACATCTTACTAAAAATGAAGCAGAAAAACTGGTTCATATATTTGTCACATCTAGACTGGACTATTGCAATGGTTTATTATCTGAGTGTCCAAATAATTCCTTAAAACATCTTCAATTAATCCAGAATGCTGCTGCCAGAGTCTTAACTGGAGTTAGTAGGAGAGATCATATTTCTCCAGTTGTAGTTTCTCTCCATTGGCTCCCTGTCAAATCCAGAATTAAACTCAAAATCTTACTTCTAACCAAAAAGCTCTCAACAACCTAGCTCCATCTTATATTACAGATCTTATTGTTCCATATTTTCCCAACAGAGCACTTCGCTCTCACACTGCAGGTTTACTTGCAGTTCCTAGAGTTTCCATAAGCAGAATGGGAGGCAGATCTTTCAGTTATCAGGCTCCTCTCTTGTGGAACCAACTTCCAGTTTGTCTGTGAAGCTGACACGTTGTCCAGTTTTAAAACTAGATTCAAGACTTTCCTTTTTGATAAATCCTATAGTTAGGGTTGGCTTGTTATGCTGCTATAGGTTTAGACTACTGGAGGACAAATTGACCTCATTTTCCTAAATGATCTGCTAAAATTGAATATTTTTCATTTGATACTTTTTCTGTCTTAATGTGATTTTTGACCTGCCATTGTGTATCTGTTCCTCTCAAACCCAGCCGGTCGAAGCAGATGACCACTTGTCCTGTGTCTGGTTCTGCTAAAGGTCTCTTCCTCATGAGGGAGTTTTTCCTTTCCACTGTCGCCTTCATGCTTGCTCAAGATGAGAGTTCTGTGATGGAGTAAACTCAAAGCAGTCTGCTCCTCATATACTGTAAATAGTATTATTAACTTACTTTTTATGTATATGGGCGTTTCTGTTCAGTGCCCTGAGATGATTTCTGTAGTGACTTGGTGCTATATAAATAAACTGAATTGAATTGAATTGAAATTAATTGAACTGAATTGAACTCTTGTGCCGGTGTAAAAATACAGCTGTTTCGCTGTTGAAAGCAGTCAAAGATACCCGCAATGACACTGTGACTAGTTTGAGATAAGATTTTAAACACTTTATTTTTCGAACAGCTTTAAAGTTCAAGCAGCAACACTGCAAGCTTCTGCAACTCAAGCAAGGATATGGAGAACCAAACGTTTCAAGACACCAGCCAGCCTCTCATTAACTGCTCAAAAACTCGTCTACAATTTGTCACCAACTATGCACTAACTACCGTAGTTGCCAGCTATTGCAGCCCAGTGAGATACTACCTTATTATTGACAGTCCACCAGGGCACATTAATAATAAAAAAGCTAAACTAAACCTCTTCTAAATGAAGTTTTTTTTTTTGACACACATCATTTTGAAAGTGCTTTTAAAAGCCTGAAACTAAGCAACTTTTCTGCAGTTGGCTCCAAACACAGATTTTGGATGCTCCGTGCTGGAGGGGTTTACTGGTATGGAGCAGATAGCTGTCAACTCTATAATTTAAATACATTTTGGTTTCAGTTTAACATCAAATATTGATGAGAACAAATTTGCCTTTGATAAGTATTTGAAGGGTTCTGAAGATGTGTCCTCTCAATTATTCATGGGCATAGATTTCCATATTTCATTTTGCACCTCAGCTACTTACCCATCTATCTCAAATTCAGAGCTTAAAAGGAAAATCGTTCCTTTGTCAGAGAGTTACACAGGCACCAAAGGCCAGAAACACTACAGTGACGTGTTTGATTGGCTCTTCTTGCATCATTCTAGTTTAATTTTTAATGGAGTTCTATTTAAAAATAATAAAACTCATCCCTGCCTCTTTCAAAACAGGAAACTATAATAGTCAGCAAAAGAAATGGAGCTTGTTTGCGTTAAATGCACTTTTGCATGCCTACAGAAGTGAAATAGCACAAACCAACCACATACAAAGACTAAATGTGTCGGGGAAGGGACACACTTTCTCTTTTCAACAGTGTTAGATGTTTCTCTTTGGATGACTCCAATGATGTATTTATGTGAACGCTGATGAGTCATTTTGTGAAACAGTGAATAGGTTCATCTGTTTAAAGAGTACATTGGCAAACCCATATTATTTAATACTGTCCCTCTTTTAGTGAAATACCAGTATTTCATTATAGATTTCTGTTTGACACCATTTTCAAAGGTCGTTTGATAATCAAATACATCTTCCATAATGTTCCTAACAAGTGGTTTTGTCCCTTTTTAACTTTGAAAAGAATACAGCTCATTATTTCGGAAACACTGTTCTATTATTAATAATTCAGAAGCTAATTCTGCTTTTTTTTATATTTATTTATTTATTTATTTATTGCTATTGTTGAAATGATGACTGCATCCCTCATGACGTTTGTGGTCACCGAATACAAAATGAGAACATTATTTTTCTCTGAACTCTGCAGCTCCCAAAAATAAAACTAAATGCTAATTCTTAAAAAAAAATAAAAAAAGTATTTAATTTTGTATATCTCATTTTCATCACAGGGTGTGGACTTATCTAAGGAATCTTTAGTAACATGAAGAATGTTTGGCGTTTTTAGTGTTTAAGTGTCTGGACTGTTAAATCTGATGATCTGTTTTGCTCTTGTTGTTCAATTTATTATTTGATTGAATTGTTTCAGTGAACAGACCAGAGCAGATGATTACTGATTATGTGCTCACTCTTTGGCTGGTTTGGACACACCAAATCCAGTTTTTCCATCTTGAGTTCAATGCATAATGCTCTTTTTTCTTACAGAAACAAATAATTGAAGTAATTCATTTTTGATTCAAGTAAAATATGCGGATGTTCATTTACAAGCCATTTATACAAACGTACCAAATTCATCTGTGAGACATCTAAGTTCTGCATCAGTGGAAGGATGATAAAAATCAATGCATTCTGAGCTTTTAAAGAGATTAGATGATGA